TTCTGACAACTTTTCACTTTCTACAAAAGCCTTTACACATTTTTGTATTCTCCATTTATAATTTCTCCTTTGTTTCTCTTTACATTGTATCAATAGGGCCATTATCCCTACTCCTTATAGTCAGAATGATAAAACATAGAAATGAGAGGGCTAAATACACCAAACAATTAAGGTGCAAACTGCATGTATTTGATAAATATGATAAAAATCACCACACTTCATACTCAGTCAAGCAGGAAGCAAGTATATGTCCAATATTTTGAGCTGTGGTAAAAATATTAACTGCCACACTTGCACTTTTTAAACAGGTGTCATCTTCCCATTTTTCAGACACACCCATGGTAAGGATCTCTTTACCACAGCACCTTGGCAGTATCTATGTAAGTCTTTCAGTCTGAATCCTGACTTACCACATCCAACTTCACATTGCAGACTGGTCTCAGAACAGGCAGAGCATTTCATTGCTTTCAAATGAAATTAAATAGAAAGAAGCTTTCCAGGAGCACATCTAATGTACTCTGACCAGTGCTGGGGAGTCAGCTATTCCATTCCTACAGTACACAGAAGGATGCAAGGGCTGAAATGAAACTGGATTTTGATGCCACACTGCAGAGCCTCCCTGGCAGCTGCAGCAAATCCAGGGCTCTGTGGTACAGCCATACAGGCTGCTTCTTAGCTTGTAAGAAAGGACAGAGAGTTCACTTGAAATTGACAACTGAACACAGAATTTTAAGAGTTATACATTGACCATTCAGTATTAAATTTATATTAACAGCCCTTGAAGTAAGGCTTCTCACCCAAGAGTCCCTCTCCCACTGAGAAATCCAATTTCTGGGCTATCCTGTGCTTTCTCTGTCCCAAAGCTCAAAAGAAACCTTAGAAACTTCAAAGTGGAAAAGGAAGCTGAGTGCTGCCAGTGGCAGGTGTCAAATGCATCAGGTGACAGTGGACTTACCCTGGTTTAGTACCTGTTTAGGACCCCATGTCTGAATCCTTCATTCCTGACTCATATCAGCTTTGACCCATCAGCTTCCATCCAGACATCAATGCCTCGTGTGATTATTCATTACCCTGAAATTCTCCTTCAGAAGTAACCTCTAACTCTATTTACAAAACTTGCATGAGAAGAGTAGATGTTTTTAGAGTGCTTTCTTCATCTTAAAAAGATACCCAACCTCCTTTCAGCATCTCCTTATTAAATTGCATTCCACTTAGCTGCATATAAACCCAGCCCTTAACTCCACCATCACATATCTACACTTCACCTTATACAAATAAGTAATTCCAATGTGCAATCAATCCTTATCTGAGGCAGAGATCATAAACCACTGCCTTAACTGGATACAGCATCACTGAAATCAATACAGCCATCCCAAATTAAACTAGCAAATGGTCCTGTCCTGCAGATCTTTGATCTGGAGCATTTCAGCCTATCATGAATTAAGATGATAATGCAGCAAACATCTCCTGTCTTATTGCCTTTCATCCAAGTAACATCCTGCTTGCTCCAGTGACTCCTAGCACTTAATGACTTCCTTAACTTATCCTTCCTGTCATGCCATTCTAAACAATATAGTTAAAAGAAAAAATGAATTTATCAAATAGCAAGCAGGTCCTAGAGACACACAGGAAAAACAAGTTTGTAGGAGTTTTTTCAACTGGCCACTTAACAATTTAATCTCTTTATGACTACACACTAAATATAAATACTGCATTAAATTTCCCAAGCTTGTTGCATCTGATGAAACCAACTTAGAGCTCATTACTGCAAGTACACACTAACGAGATCTCTTTGGCATCACTACAATACAGTGGTTAATTACAGACCCTACATTTACTCATGGGACATGTCTTCCTTCCAATGTATAGAGATTCTCCCTTACTGTTTAACAAAATAGGTACAAGCACTTTTTTTTTAAAGTTAACAAATTTATCATCACAAAGTGGTAAGGGTTTCTATTTTACATGTGGGAAAATCAGAGCACAATGGCAACCCAACAGGGTTTATTGCCAAATACTGAACCTGGAGAAAACTGGCATTTTGGCAGTTGTATAAGGCAAACATTTATTTCTAAATCAAAATGGTCTGAAATTACCTAATTCACCACTTAGGATTTTCTCTAAGCTGATTTGGTGTTTTCAGCCCTTTCTGATATTCCCAAATGACACCTTTTTGAATTAAAAGGAACAATGTTAGTGGGTATTTTGCACTCTGAACACAAACACACAAATGAACTGCACTGAGTCCAGCCTCCCCCCAGCTCTGATGCAGAAGTTGGCTGCACTGAGCCACCAGCACTTGCTTCAGAACAGGGAACTCCCTGGAAGATTTTAATTTTCTGCATCATCTGCTGAGTCTGAGAGCTGACACAATTAGTACAAAATGGCATGTGGCAGCGAGCCACAGAAAGCACTGCTTTCCCAAACAATTACAGCCCATTTTGCTGGGGCTGGGAGACACAAGTGCTCAGCCACTTGAGAAGTGCAATTCTGTGCTGGAAATGCACTGCCTGGAATAGTCCCTCCTACAGCACAGAATTTACCACCTTGTTGTTTTAGGACATGAAATAAAACAACACAAATACAAGATTTTTTTTATGGTAAAAAACAGGGTGTTTAATTTTTGACTTTAACATTTACGGATTTTTAAAAGTGACAGTGGATTGGAGGATGACAGTGTCACTTTCCCAATGACACTGGATAAACTAACAGTATCAATTTTTTTCTTTTATAAAAGAATGCAAAACAATAAGCTATTTACATAAAGTAAGAATTTTTTACAAGAATATAAACAACAGAAGGCTTAGAACAATTTAAACAAGGAAACACCAGCTAAAATTGGAAATTGGAGAAAGAAAGTTTCTTTGGCTCACACTGTTTATTGAAACCTCCAGAGTTACCAACCCTGCTGCTTCTTTCCTTTTTACCCAAAGCTTATGAAAGTCAAGGCAAAAAAAAAAAATCACTATTCCTGTCCCATATATTTTACAGGGATGTGTGAAAATATCATTCCCTTTATAAAATATTATCATTCCCTTATCACAGCACTGAGCAGCACTTAGTCATGTCTGTATGCTTCCTGTGTCAACAGGGAAAATAGAAAAATTTTAGGACGGTATCTCAGTCTGATATATTTCTATGCCTATAATATTTATATTATTTTATATTTATATAATACCTATAAAAATATATATACTATAATTTATATAGTTTAACATATATAATACTTATAATATTTCATATTATTCTATGCCTATAATATTTATATCACACATTGAAAGATTCAAGTTCCAGACATTTGAAATCTAATCTCATGTCTCTGTGCTTGTTTAAAGGGATATAAGTTGCAGGTATTTTTGGAGGCAAGGTGAGGAAGTAAAGGAGACTCAGAGACCTGTTAAGGTCAGACTAGGTAGCTGAAAGTCTGGACAAATACCTGCAGAATGAAATGAGGGGAGTAACAGCAGTTTCAAAAAACAGAAAAAAAGAAATTTTAAAAATCCACTTCTTCATAGACAAGGACATAAGCAGACAAAAATTTCTTTCTGTCTATCTCCTAATGACTTCCTCAAAGGAAATGAACAAAGAACTATATAGAAAAATGCTAAAGCTGAGAACTTGACTGGAACTATGGCAATTGCCTATGGTAATGTAACTACTATTTCTCGATAATTAATTTTTTCTTTTAAAGAGTCAGTCCATAAGCATGGCTGTCCACAAGTCTGTGTATTTTTGGTTTATCCAGACAAGTAAAAGCCTGTGCAGTGGCTGGTTCAGAGCTTTGCATGGACTGACCTGCACGCTGGAGCTGCCTCCAGCAGTGAAAACATTCCTGCCTACCTGCCTCAGGTCACTTTATTCCATCTTCCTTACTTACCCAGCTTTTGACTGCAACAAAAGATAAAATTCACAGGTTTTGGACATCCCATTCCACTGACATTCAGATGAAATTTGTTAATAGGTTCAACCAAGCACTGCTGTCAAGTGTAGGGACAGAGGGGGACATGGGAGAGGAAGGAAATGGATAATGTGCATAGGATGCATTTGCATGAGAAACCAGCATCAAACACATAAAACAACCTTACAGAAGATAAATACACCCATCTGTCCTCCAATCAGTTCCATCAGGAAAGGCAGTGTGGGACAAGAATGCCTCCTCCAATTAAGAAAAACATGTTATCTTTTTGTACCATTTATTCCTGCTCACATCCCAACACATGGAAAGCTTTCATCAGTCTCAACCTGAACAGCAGCTCTAATTCCAAGAGGCCCAAACAGAAACAAAATGAAAATACATTTATTTCACTTCTAAGTTATTCTCCTCAGAATAGACATTAGATTACTTTGTTGTTTCAGCTACACTACTCTGTCCATGGCAGTTATAAAAAAAAATTCTGAATGCCTGCAATAGCATCCATCTATGATAAAGACAACAGATTTCAACTAGAAAATTTACAAATGTACTCACAAATATTATTGTTCCACTCCTCATACTGAAACGTTACATAAAGAGAAAATATGAATTCATTTATCCAATGAACACAGCGCAGCCAAACTGTTGTGTATTAGATCCATAGATCTCATGTACAGTATATGAAATTCATTTAGTAGACAGTTAGTTATGCTTCCATGTAAAAGCCATTACAAATAATAAATATTTAAATATATGGATGACAAATAACATGCCAGGATTATGCAGATAATTCATATTTAATTCAGTAGTTGCTTCATTGCTAACAAAGAGTAATGAACAGACCACTGCATGTTCTCCACCATGATACATTTACTTCACTCAAATAATTTTCCAGGCACATACAAGTCTGAACTTTTCAATTAATTTCAGCCTAAGGCACCCAGAGCAAGTAATGCATATTATCAGGTAGACTCTTGAAAAAATAAATCTAGCTTATCTCATTTCCTTTCTCATTGCAGTATTTATCCTGAGGAAGCATCAAAATGTCACTGCCCTGAGAGAAATTAGGTTAGTAGGAGCTCTCTTTTCATGTACCCTTCTCAGGGCAAGGAATAGGTTTGAAGATAACTTCAGTGTTCTCCACCAGTATTAAATCGTATCTGCATAGCTGAGGCCTACAAAAGCAGAGAAAGAAAAAATTCACAACAGAAAAAGTTAAATTTAACCGAAAAATATTCCCTTATTTTAATTATTAAACCTTCAGTATTTACCAGCTCTCAGAGACAGTACTCAGGACAAGAAGTGTCTCCTTGTCTAGGTTTATACCTTATTTCAAGCATTCCTAGAGTAGCTTTGATGGACTGAAAAACAACCAAACATCAGCTGGATGATGCAAAGTAGTGTACCACACTGGTCTGAAGTGTAAAGATGCAGCATTTCATCCATTACAGCTATTAATCTGCATTCAAATCAACTCTTCAGCAGCATGACCCAAAATCTGCACAATTCCTGCTAACACAGGACCTGAATAATTTATGGAGTTCCCTAGATAGGGAAATTTCTGCTTTTATTTTACATAGGAAAGTAAAGAACCACATCATAATATTTTCTATTTCATTTGCAATGACAGAATGTGTAAGAAATTTTAATGCAAGAGAGCAATTTGTCTTCTCAACACCTAGAAAACTCACAGCTGACTAATACCACATGAACACCAAAGAGGTCACAAAGGGAGCCACATATACATGAAAAACACGCTTTTTGAGGTCAACATAAGTGCTCTGCCTTTTAGGGCAGTGGCAGGTCACAGTCCTGCTCTTCATGCACTATTGTAATGTATGGAGAGAGGAAAATGACAGGAAAGGAACAGGAAAATGACAGACACACTCTGGATAGCACCTCCATAGCACACAGCCAAGAGACTTATTTTATTTAAAATTATCTTCTCTATTGCTCTGAACTCATAGATGGGGCTATACCACACAATTCACCTTGGCCTGAGAAGTAGAATACATGGAAACAGCAAAAGGAGAGAACAGCACACCAGGCATTTCCATTGTTGCCCATTCTCATAAGATTTCCTACCAGTTAAGGCTCCATCTGTCTCTATGTGAAAGGAATGTCAGATTTCTAATTAAGAATATGACACCTTTTAAGGTCTCCAAAAAGTTCTGACAGCAATTTTATGATTAAAGAGATCAAGATGAATCCTGGTGTTCTGTACAATGCAAAGCATAGAATTTCATCCAGTCCTTCATCAACAATTTGTTTTGATTTAAATTCAATGTTTCATTATTAGAGTATTTTTGTAGTATTATTTATATCTAACTACAGGGGCCAAAATACCTAGCCAAAACATAATGATGAATATTAGAAATAAACTTTTATGTTTTCCAACACATTTTATATCATTTGAAGTGCAATCCTTCTCAGCTTGTGATTACTGATTACAGGGATGCCTCACAGGAGAGCAGTCCTGAGCAGGGAGCAGGTTCACCAACAAGGAGCAAAACACAAAAAATGTTTTTGTTAGGTGAGGCTTCCTTAACTCCCCAACCCAAATTGGCTTCTCTGCTGTCTACTAAAAGTCATGGGCATGCCACACTTGTTCAGAAGAGGTATTTGCAAGGTCTTTACATTATCTCTGTTCTTGTTTTGGTCAAAAAACCCCAGAGATGTTTGGGCTAAGTATCCTTGAGTCATTCACCTTCCTCCTTAACTGTACCTGAATTCACTGACGCGTTCATAAGATTTTGGAGATAACTGACACCTGGACACGCACAAGTTAGCAAAGCTTTCTGGTTTTGTGGGTGAGTAGAAATTATTTATCTCACGGATCGGAAGAAGAGCATGGAAATTATTTCAGCACTCCCATATTCACACACCATCTGTGTGAATAGTGGATCAGCCCAGCAGACAATTGTCTGTGATATTCCCCAAACTCCCACAGTTTGCCATTAAGCCAGACCTGGGCACACTGAGACTCCTATTGTCTTTTATCCCTGCATCTGTCCCCTGGTTTTTATCTACTACTTTGCTGTGAGTAATTCAAATAGTTTCAATGTAGTTTCTAGTTGATCATCCTGTATTCAAGTAATCATTGTAATTATATGTAAATAAGGTAAATATAGGTTGGTATAATCACAAAGAGCAATTCGATAATTATACCAATAGTGCTTTAACATCTGCATTTAAATTACCTTCACATGCTGATTCAATACAGTATTTTTCACTGTTCTCTAAAAGTACCTGACATGCCTCTACAGCTGCAATCTGATGAGGTTCCACATGAAGGACTTTATTGGATCTTATATTAAAGCATATCAAGTGCGTCTGACAGGGTTTGAGTTTTCATTCCTGTTAGTCTGACTCTTGTTAGTTTAAAAGTAAGGGCTGTTCACTGAAAATCTTTCTTGTTTGCTTGCTAGATCATTATCTAAAAAAAGCCCCAAGTGCTGACAGGCTTACACAAAATGTTCCTTCTGATTTATCACCACTGGGCTGAAAAAAAAATTGCAATATGATTTAGAACTTTTCACCCTCTCTCATCACCAAATGCTTTGAAATACAATCATGCCATTTTCACCTCAGAGCTTGAGACTTATGGCTTTCAATAAGTTAATAAAGTCAAATGGATGTACATTCTGGGGTACTATTTTGATTACTGAGTGTTTTGTTTCTTCCTAAGTTTCTCCCATCCATCTCTTTCTCTTCCTCAGTAAATCTAAAATAGTAGATTAATTTAAGAAGGGTCCATAATTTTTGCTAAGTATCATACCCACTTCTTACTAGGCTATTATCATGCGCCATATAAGAAATCCTCAAATGTTACATCTCAAGTTAATAAAATATACTGACTTCAGACTTCCTAAGTATTGTAACATTATTCTAATTCATTACTCATTTGCTATTATTTATTTGATATGCATTTTTATGTTTTTATTCTAAATTCTGACTTCCTTGAATCTGCCATTAATAAGCAACAAATCAAACTCTCAGATGAAGTACTCTTGCTACTCATGGATGTTTCTTACCTATTCCATGTAATATGCTCTTTTCACAAGATGTAAATGCAAAATTTAAGTGCTAGAGTTACTGCTTGAGTAAATTTGGAGATTTTAAAATGAACATATAGTAACAATGCTGAAATATTTTAAACCAGAATTAATAAAAGCTTAGTAATTAACCTCAATTACAAAAAAAACAAAAGCAGATTTAATTTTCGCTGTAAGCAGACACAGACTGTGTTCTGATTTTTGAACTTTTTACCATCATCAGTAAGGCCAAAAAAACCTATTCCAGTCAAACATGTTGCTGAAGTGCTCCATTTCACCCCTGAGTGTGAAAAGCTGTGTACAGACACGTGAGAAAATCAGAAAAGTGCTTGATAAAATTTATCTCATGGAGGAGAAGCTGACCTGACCATGCAAGTCAGGCTGGTCCATGGAAGCACAGCTGTGACACAGCGCGTGTGACACCTCCATGTACAAACTCTGTGCACTAAATGTTAATGTACACAGCAGCTCTTCTATGTGACAAATTTGATCATCAGGATGATAAGAATATTCATACACTTAGGAATATGCCACTAGAAAAAATTAACTCAGGGAAATACAAGTTACTGAGAAAACATCCTTGAGCACCTTAGTTGATACCCAGCTGTGATACATGACAAACACTCACCTTTTTGAATTATTGACAGATTTCAGCTTCATCTGAAGAACTTTAAGCTTTCTTCTTGGGCCTATTAAAGCCTTGGTAGTAAAGGTCAAGGACATTTTTACAATTTTTTCAATGTCTCGGGGAAATCCAGTCAGTATTTTGATGCTTTTATATTGCTGAAATGTTGAAGCTTCACTAAAGAAAAATATTTAGTCAGGCTTTTGTTAGCTGAGTAATATTCATTACTGCTAAGTATTATTACTTAACGGGGAAATCTTATGGGATGTATCAAATTTGAGCGTTCAGAACAAGCCCAGCTAGAATAGGATTCAAACCAGCACCAAGCAAGGATCATTTCAGTGTGAGGGCATTGCCCCTGATACTAAGCCAAATCCAGGGAATGGGGCCATGGCCAAGTCTTAGCAAACTCAAGATACTTTTTCAACTTGCAAGCTAACAAGTTAAAAGGTTTAGAAAACTCAGAAAATTAGTTCTATAAAGTGATTTTAAAAAAAAAGATTTAAAGGCAAAGAACAACATACCTACTCATCTGCGACTCTACTGTGTTTCCAGCATTATCCATTATTTTAACTTTAATGAAACCTCTCCTAGTGCTTTTATTCCAGGTAATAATTTCCAATACGTAGTTATACACTGCAGGAAGAAATAGGAAATCGTGAGAATCAAATAATGATCTCAACAGCAAACAGTTGGTATCCCCACCCTGTTAAATGTATTTACTGGCAGGTGATAGGAAAAGTGACTCTTTACTTTTACCCTCCCTGTTCAAAGGGGAAAGAGAAGCTGACCTGCTGCTGACCTGCCTGGTGCCCTCACAAACCCTGACCTGGACTCTGCAGCCATCACCAGTATTGGAACCACACACCTTCACTGCTCCCAGTCAGGACAACAAGAAAAACTGCTTTTTTTTGGCATGTGGCCAAAAAATTATCATTATTATCATTCTCTAATAAAAGAACAGGACTCATACGAGGTCCTGTCTTGCCCAAGTTTCCAATGTCCCTTCTTTTTAAGACCTTTTGTTAATTTCTGTTTCTTCAGGTTTCCAAATATCTAATAACTAAAGCTTTAATTAACGAATACACTCTTTTTCAGACTTTTTTGCTTTGCTTCCTGACTTTGCATATTTTTCTTCTTCTTGATCTTGCATATTTTCCTTTAAATTCATACTGTCATTACAATATTTCTTATTCTGCTCCATGTGCCTCCTCCTATCTTTGATAATATTTCTCTTCCTCTTTTCTCCCTTTTCCCACCACCAATGAGGGGCAGGGGAGAACAGTAGTAAAAGGTTTGGGTTGAGCTCAAAAACACTGGGAAGAGGAGTTATTTTATGTAAATTTTATGTTAAAAAAATATGTGAAATCCATCACTTCATTCACCTCTCCTCAATCCTTTGGAGGATACAAGGATGTCAGCAAACATGACTAGGACCATCTGATCCTGGTCACAAAACTTGCCAAGAGGATAGACAAAACTAATGGGAAAACCTAATTTCACATTAATTCCCAGCAAGCCTGTCCCCATACCCTAAATGATAAAACCTTAAACACAGCTAATAAGAATTATGTAACTATGCGGCTCTTTTTCAGCGTGATAGAGCCTTCTAATGCCAAGAGAAATTGGATGAGAGCCCAGGATGGTCCTACAAGGGTAGGCAGGTATCTAAACTGTTGCAGCTGAAGCCCATGCCATGAGAGCTCATTGCCACAGAATACAACTCTGAAGCAGCCAGCTGAGGTTTCCCGTCACTGTTTTACTCCTGGGGAGACATGGAGAAGCTTTATTTGACTGATGGGTGATCTCCTGGGGTAGAACATAGAGGTTTCTCCTTTTTGTCCCCCACCCAGGGCAGTCTCACTTCCCTTTCCTGCTCTCTGGAAATGGCAGCATTGATCCCATCCAAGCAGGTTGCATCAATCCAGCTTTTTCCTTCCCACTTGATTCTCATTTTCTGGCTTCCTTCCTCCTCTTGGCAGTCCATCCCATTACTTTTATAGGTACATTTCTTTCCCAGTTCACACAGTGTTACTTTTTCTTCTTCTTCTAGTCAGTGAACTGACCCTTAGTTAATGGTTTTTTTGCATCATTTTACACAGTGGCTAGCACTAACTTCTACTTTTAATGTGTTTTCACTCCAGATCAGCTAAAAAATAAGTCATCAATTTTTGTGTATGTATTTAGTTACTCACTGCAGAATGGGTCTTTCCCTGAGGTATCAAAGTAAGCTTTTGTTGGTGAACTATATGGTATCAACAGCTTTTTCCATCTATCAGCGTGATAACCTGAAACCCAAAGTTTAAATATTTCATTTCAGACATTTAGCAAAATCATGATACACATATCTTCGCACAAAAGTATCTCACACCATGAAAACTTTGGCTTTAATTTTCTTCAATATCCTCAGAGAAAGAAAACTGACTAGAAAAAAGGAATCCTCTGAGTACAACAGACTGTAGTATACAGGTATTTAATTCCTCTAATATATTAGTATCACTAAAATTTTCATAATGTAATAGTAACCTCTTTAGTCTGGGTACAAATTCCAAAAAGTAGTGCTGACAAAACCCTGCAAAGGTAATAAGAACAACCCCAAAAATGTAGCCCATATATCGGCAGAGAACTTACAGAATAGCTTTCCTTTCTTTCATTTGAATCATTAAATATCTTTTAATTCTTCAGCCTATTTGTAGATATTGTTTAATAAAATAGAAGATACTGTGAAAACTCCTAAAACATGGAAAGAAATTTATACAACTCCATGATTATTGTTTTTGGGGTTTGATAACAGTCCTTATTTCTAGAATAGATGATCCTGTCCTCTCCCTGGTAATTTCTCTACCTAGTCTGGACAAGAAAGGCTAATTCCAGACTGCAGAGCTGCCACTGCAAAGCAGGAAGGATTGCAGCACAAGGATGCTGCTTGTCCACTTTTCTCCACCTCTACCTTGGGCATTCTATCCAAGTGCATCAGGCTTGGCTAATAACCCTGCTGGGGAAGTCCTGGAGTCTTTCTGTCTTACTATAAAGGCTCATTATGGTTGGGTTTTTAGGAAATAACACACAGATCTATCTATGCTTTTTCTTCTAGCCTGATCAAACTAATGTAACATACACATCCCAGCACAAGGGTGCAAAAAAACCCCAACAAGATAAAAATTGAAATTTAACTTCTAATTACGTATTTTTTAAATGTCATTCTTCAGAAAACCCTGCCAACTAGGAAATGCTCACACTGTTGCTGCTCTTTTCAAACTGCACCCAAATCCTCTCTAAAAGAAACAAATCTAAAAGCTGTATTCCAAAGGAAGAGCAAAAAAAAAAAAAAAAACCACCCAAGAAGTTAAATAAAAACCACAGGTCCTCTAGGGATCACAATACACTCTTAAAGCCTGAAGTGATGAACTAAGCACAAGCAGTTTTTCTCTAGAAAGGGGAAACACTGAATCCATTCCAGACTGGAAAGCATAAAGACCAAAGAGTAGGAAAATTCAGCACCTGTGCCTAACAGAGATAACTGCAAAGCAGACAAACCCATGAACTTTAAATTTAAATACTTTATTTAAATACTTGAAACTTAAATAATTTAACTACTTTAACTTCCCAGGAAATCTCACCCAGCCCAGAACAGATGTGGTAACACTTACCCATTACTGGGCAGGACATGGGCTGGAAAGCATCACAATCCATACATTTTCCTCTCTTGTAATCCAAATAAGAGTCACAAGGATATGTTATCATGTCACACCAGTTTTTCAAAGACGCTAAGAAGAGGAAGACAGATCTCTGATGGTCACATTTAAAATAATGCAATCCTTCAGGGAAGGAAAAAATATAAAAAGAATAGTTAATTTTTATTAATTAAAAAAGGATTGTGTATAAGTAGAATCATAGAATGGTTTGGGTTGGAAGGGACCTTAAATATCATCTTGCTCCAACTCCTCTGCCTTGGGCAGGGACACATTCCACTACACCAGGTTGCTCAGAGCCCCATCCTGCCTGGCCATGAACATTTCCAGGGTTCATCCTGTGGTACATCCACAGCTTCTCCATGAAACCTGTGCCAGTGCTTTACCACTCTGAGTGACAACTTGGCCAAAGAAAATTACTATAAGGAACACTTCAGAGATTCTTCTCTACTTTTCTGGGGAAATAAATTCCTTCCTTTCCTGACAAAGCAAACTTTGGGAATTGTGGAGATGATGATTGTCCTGGCTTAAGGGATTCTCCCATCCTCACAAACACACAAGTGGAAGCCTTATGCCTTTGCAGCAGCCCTAACTGGTAGCACTGTGCAATTTAGTAGTGGGAAGCATTGACAGAAACAAACATATCCAAAAGAGTACACAAAAATAATTGCCAACAACCTAACACTCATGGAAGTTGAAATAAGCAAAATTCTGCATCTAAAGGTAATTTCATAAAACTGTTTTCATTCTACAGCCTGAATGACATATCCAACACCAAAACCTAGTTCATCATTGCCGGCCAGGAGGAACCCAAAAAACAGTGGGGACGTGGTAGCTTTGTCTTCCATGTCACAGGCAAGGGATCCTGCCCAAACCACTGGGACACAAACACCTTCCCCCGTGCCTGGACCCATATAACCAAGGAAAAATAATGATCAGTATATTCAGGTTTTATATGTAATACAACAACATAATTCCATCATGCCAATATTAATTATAGGATGGAAAATGTATGTCACAGCAAGATTATTTTCAAATATCTTTATTATTTTTCTTTTGCTGCATAGGGATGGAAAAAGAAAGCATACAGTCTCAGGTCTTGTATTACTGACAAAGTGCAGTGTAAATTCAAATCAATTTAACCTTTTTTGATTTGATCTCAAACTTTTCTTCTCATTAAATAAAACAGATTTTTATTTACCACTGAGAAATGTTTTTGGACAACCAGGCTGATACATTCCTCCATTTGGATAGAAGTCAATGGTTCCTAAAGGCTTCTTGAAACCTAGTACTAAAGTAAAAACATCATGAATGAAAAAATCCCATAAACAGAATTATGAAGGCAATTATTTATCATCACATTCACTCCTAAAATCATGGAGGTCTTAAGGAAAATTTTTGCAATTATACCATTCTTCTTGGACTGTAAATCAAGGTCATACTATGAGGTAAAAGTCAAGGATTTTTTCTCTTTAAGAAAATTATATATAAGTAAAATGCTGTACACAAATGTATACAAAATTGTGTAAGATTCCTACTGCTGCAAAAGAGAAAGAGCAGAAACATCTGTAACTGAGATATTATTTGCATAAACAAATTTATGATATTCATATCCTCTCCAACCAAAATTCTTTCCCAGTGCAATTTTCATTAGAGTAAACTTTTCCATTTTTTGCAAGATGTTAGATTCTGAACTACACTAATATTAGCAGTAAATCAAAGTAAGAAAAGTTGTATCTGTCCTATGAAAGTAAGCAAGATTCCATGAGTAAGAGTTAATTCAATCTGACCTACCTTCCTTTTTACCACATCATCTTTAGTCACATAATGGGAACATTACAAAAATTGGTATTTTACAGCCTCATACTGAAATTTGTATAGGAAAATGCTTCACTTTTAATATTATTAAACAAACTGATATGAAACTACACAAATAATGGGTCAGTTGCGGTATTAAGTTTACTGTTGTTTTGAGGAAAAAATAAAACCAGAGATTGAAGCATAGCTGAAGCAGACTTGACAATGCTCTTCTTTTTAACCTTACAGTAACATGATTTAGTATTTGAAGCACTGGCTCTGTGATGGACTGAGTTGATGCAGCAGAGCCTGACTGTCTCAGAAGGGATTAATTCAGTGATAACCATGAGTTACAACCTCTGTGTTCATACACACTTGCACAGCAAAAGAACATTCAGGATAACAGAAAATATTCTCCTGCAGCACTATTTGCATGCTACTGAAACAGGTTATCCCTTCCCTTTTGCTTTCCTGCCTTTCCTCAAGCTGAAAGAGCAGAGTCAAGGCTCTGTTGTTACCATCAATGTCGGAATGGATCACATCCACAAACTGAGCATCAGCAGGATCCAGCCTGTGGTCTGGTGGTTCCCCAGTGAATGAAGGGCCTGCCGGATCCAGACCTAAATAAAAACAACATTTGCATCAGAAACCCTGGGCTCCTTCTGCAGACATCTGAGCATTATTCAGCAGTGATGCTTCCTTTTCTTGGTATAAAAATTTTCAAAAAGCATAATTTTTCTCTTCAACTTGCTAAGAAAAGCAGATTCCTACCACAAGACGGATCAACCCATATGTTGAATTTCTCTCTTTCCATAACTAGATGTGCTCATCTCCCATTTATTCAGGTAAATATAAACCAACAGCATTGGAGATCAAATCAGGAAAACTTTTTTGTCCTTTTCCCAAGAAAACACCATACCTATTATATACTTTCTAAAACCAAAATGGCCAATATAACTGCTCTCACCTCCCGAACACAACTAGTCAGACACTCAGGTAGCACATCATTTAACTTAAGTGTCACCTGGATGAAGCACTCAATTTTCATTTGAGAGAGTAGAGGTAACCTGCATTCTATATAAATATAATATATAAATACATATAATACATATTTTATATAAATGTATTATATAAATAAATGTATACATAAATTTATCATAAATAAATGTATATAAAACTTATTATAAATAAACATATATAATATATTATGTAAGTTAGATAATATATATTTTAATAGTTATAATATATATATATTTATTTAATATATACTTTATATATATATATATATAAATTTAATCTGTAATTTATGTCCTGAAGGCAGACTTGCCCCATTTCCTGAACTACTATCAGGGCTGTATTTTTCCTCATGTATGTCATTAAATATTCAGTTCTTGTTTGTTGATGTCTAAGAGCTCTGACAACAATATAAGGTACAATAGAATGTGTGCACTGGGATTAAAAGCCTTACCTGTAATTCTGCCAAGTTTGCCTTTATACTTCTGGCCAACAAATCCAGCTATATGAGCACCAAGACTAACTCCAATTAAATACAGAGAGTCAAGAGAAGCTCCACCCACCTATCAAGGGGAAAAAACACCAAAGCCAGTCATGCCCAAAATTAATGGAAGAGAAAGCACTAGGCTGATTTAGTTCTCACTTTTGGTCAGTACTTCAAATTATATTTTTAATTTCCTAGCTCTAAAAATAGGCTATTACAAAGTTCCTTTCAGTTTGCAATTCTATATTCATACAAAGTGTAGAAATTATGAAATTCTTTAACTAGAAAAACGTAAAAAGGAAGCTTGAGTCACATTTCACCTGAAATGCCACATTAGTTACAAGGGAAGCAGGGAAGGGAAGAGGAAGACATTTATCAGATAAAAAAAAGTTGAACCAAAACAATGAAGGAGGGAAAAAACATCTGGCCCTGCTTTATCCTTCCACGAAAATAAGTTAAAAACATAACACCATTAACAAATATTTTTGTCACACAACTGCTGAATAATGGTGCCAAAAGTGCACCTTCAAATGCCTATTCTACAAAGCAGACAGAATTCAAAAAAGCCCAAATGAAAACCTACGAAAGAACTCTAAAACAGTGTCAGTTGACCTAGATGCAATCCCTGCAAAATGATGGGGTGACACACAAGAGTGAAATATTAGTATGTCTTAAAATGAATTAGAAGGGCCCCAGAGCAGCTTGTAAGTGTGAAAGTGATAGCTGTGGACACCACAGACCCTCCTGTCCCATCACTTTCAGGACTCACACACACTGTCACTGTTTTCCAGGCAGATCTGTAAACAGCAATTAACTTAATTAATTTTCTCTTAGTCCTATCTATTTTTTTTTTAATTCCATAACAATAAATCAACTGGCACAATTGCAAACTGCTATCACTGTATCTAGTCCTGGAGGACAGATTCTGACAGGCTGAGGTGAAGGGAGAGAAATCCTTTCTCAAAATGTTGGATGGTTTTCTGAAATTCCAAAGGAATATTTTTTTACTACACAGCATTGCCATCTTATTGCGGAGATTCCACACTGTTGTCTCCTTATCACAAAAGTTCCATACCTTCTGGTGTTTCTCATGGACATCTCAGAGCACTAACTCTTTCCTCCTCACAAAGCAGCCACTGACTCCAGCTCCCTTCTCACCCAGCCACCCCACTCTTTTATAGCACTCTGCTTCTCATTGCTTACAGCTGTGGCCTGGGAAAGTCAGGCCTGTTCCTCATCTTTGATAATTGGCCCAGCTGCAACTCCTTAGGGGTGAGATTACTCTCCACACTATCTCTACTTTCTTATATTCTATCCCCCTACAACACAGCATTCAGAATTTCTGAGAATGGCTGAGAAACAAATGGTGAGAAAAGATGAAAATTCAAGTGACAAATCAGACAACGGTGTAAATAACATCATCACGTTTTGTCCATTTGATCAATCAATAAATCTAACATCCAGTTATGACCATTGGCGTCAACTATGGTTTCAGCAAGAAGTTTATATCATTTTTTAATTAATAGTTATATCGTTGTCAGTGGCTTATTTCTCATTTAAAACCTTTATTTACAGCAAATTAACAGTAAAAATAGTAGTGCAAAGCCTTTGTAAAATGTTTATGCCACATACTATTTGAACATCTCTCCCTCCACTTTCCCACTGCTGAATTCACTCTTTCCAGAAGACCTAAAACTTGCTGGTTCAAGAAATCAGATGCGCTTTCAGGCACATTTCAGTGAAAGGGAATTAAGAACTCAGGTGAAGTTAAATATATGCAATAATGACTGCAAGTTAAGTTAGTAATACCTCTACAAAGAAATGTGATTTGATATTGTTCACTGGACTTCTCTGTAGATATATTTTAAATATCCATTCCCACTCAAACCATGCTCTTCACACTCATTCAGAACGGATTCAATGCTCTGCCTTACCAGCATCTGGTCAACATAATTCTTCAGTATTTCTGCAACTTTTCTGCAGTTTTCCACAGCAATTCTGTAAATCACAGTGGTAGCACCACGATTCCAATCAACTATAATGAGATTAATGTCGTCTGAAGACAGTAAAAGCCTCTTCATGTCACCCAGCCATGCTGGAGGAGATCCTGTTGGCCTGTAGCCATGAATTACAAAGACAATTTTCTTGGTTGTATTCAGGTATTCAGATGCAGTAACATTGTGTTCAATGAGTCTCTCAGCACAATCTTGATTTTTCCTTGTGTACAGGAGTAGCTGAACATGGAGCTCTGTTCCAGAAAAAGCATGGCCTAGGTTAAGGTCTGTAAATTCGGGACATTTTTCTTCCTCATCTGAAAAAAATGAAAATGTTAAGACAGTCATTTGATGAGTTGGGCTACCTGAAATACCACTTCTTCACTTTTCTTTCCATATCTTTTTCTGCTGAAAGTGGAGAACTTCCATTTTCTTTACTCTTGACCTTTGGAAAGAGGTGTCAAAACATCAAAATATGCACTGAACAAGGTACCACACTTTAACTAACGACTCTGCAGATACCACTATTATTTATATATATATATATATATATATATACATATATACATATATATATATGTATATATATACACCACTATTATATACATATATACATGCCACTATTTTATATATATATACACCACTACCATATATATATATATATATATATCTAAGGCTCCTCTGAACTCTTCAAATGTGAAATTATCCCAATTTTTCCTGAACAGTGTTTCTGTATTTTCTCCTTCTAAGTACTAAATAGTAGCCAGTGTTGGTAAGATCTTTTACTTCACCATCAAAGGCAGGTTCTCAGAATTTTTTCACAAGCAGTGCGTGCTGTATAAACAGGAAGGCTGTTGTGGTTGTTTCTTCCTCTTTGGGCCAGAGTGGCTGTGCTGCCAATCCTTAGACCTGATTTATTTGATCTAGCAATAAGAAATAGTTGCCTGACAAAATAGGAATGATCCAGAACCCTTTCCTTGTTTTGGAACACCACAAAGGCACCATTACCAAGAAACAAAAGACAGAAAAAACAAAGAATCTTGCTCTAGGTTTGAAAAAATAGGAATTAATGTCAGTGTACACAATGGCACATGACAAACAGTAGGATTTAGCATTTCTGTCTGTACTTGGACAGTTGGGGTGTACCAGATTAAGCTGCTCAAGAAGAGGATGGAGATTTAAAAAAGAGTCTGAAAGGATTAAATTTCTCCCCTGTCTGGTTATCAACATCCAAAGTTCACATTTTAAATATCTCTTTTGGCTGCTGAGTTCATATCGTGTGGATAAACCACTCGAGGATTCTGGGCAGGACACCAACACCTGTCAGTTCTCCTGCAATGGCCTCTTCACCTTTGCTATGCTGTTAGTTGGTTTTTGGCCAAGGTTCTTGGCCCATCTCTTGACTTCCAGCGGGTTACATTACTTTACACAATACTTTTGTCTCTCTGTTACTTGATGGCACCTTTTCAGCTCTTCCGTCATTAAAATCTTTGCAAAACAAGTCGCTTTCAAGAAAGCAAAAGCAAGAAAAGAAATTGTGTCTTGTTAATTCCGTAAAAATAATATTAAAAGAATAACCTGAATTTCTCAGATTTTTTGAGGCATAAGAGAAGCAGTCCCAGCCCTTCTCCTTTCCCCAGAGGACAGTTCACAGGCAGAACCAAATCCACCACATCTGAGATGGACAGCAAGGCTGCATTCTCTCTTAAATCTGCCAAAGGCGAGCGTGGGTGGCTTACAAGGTATCTGAAATATGTGTTCAATACTACAGGTCAGCTAAGCAAGGCTGAACAATGTGAATTATGGCATTCAAGGTGCAGTAAAGATTCAGTAAAGGCACTAAAGACACAATTTCACTAATTTAGGGAACTAGACCAGTCACCTCTAATTCCAAACCATGTATCATCTACAAGGCCTACGTTGGTCACTTCTGGGCTGGACATCACAAAAAATAATGGATATAGTCCAAACAAGAGCAGGCTTGAACTTATAAGTGTTAAAAATACGCTGAAACTCCCTGTTGCAAACCACCCGAACAAAACTTTCATGCCTATCATCATGTTTTGACAGTAACTACAATTATTACATAGAGAAAAAGACAGAATTATATTGAAAAATATTTTCCTCATGTAAGCACAGTAATTTTAACTGAGATTACTAGACAAGTTATTAACTAAGAAGTGATACAGGAAGACAACTCATTTGATCCCTTGGACTTATCCAAGAATTTCTGAAACTGAAAACTGTTCAGCTGAAGTGGACTTGAATTTTATAAAAATAATAATCAAGAACCTGGTAAAATGTCATGCATGTGACATGATCCTGAGATGTTAACAATATGTGTCACATTTGATTTCTGGTTTTCATATATTTGTATATTATGATAAAACTAGAATATAAATTACATTACACTAACTTCACCTACAAAGTGAAAATAAAAACCAGCCACTTGATTATAGTTTCAAAGGTACAACATGAAACTCTCATTTTGTCTGATCTGGTCTTTAAATCCAAGTTTAGTCATTGATCCTTGAATTTCACTCCTTCATATCTAAAATATAAAAGATTCATGCTAAGATATTGCTCTGTATCCCTTTAAATATTTTGATTTTTCTTTAATCATTTGATTGGTAGAAATAAAACTTACTTCTTCTAAAACCAGCAGAATGACAGTGAGATAAACCAGACACAGTCTGTTCCATGGGAATTTGAAATCTATCATAAGGAAATTATTTTAACTACCAAATCTATTTACTAGCTGGCAAATGTCAAAGAGAAGCAACTTGTTTACTCTTGGCTGTGAAATGACAGAAGTTATTCTTTCAAAAGTAAATAGAGAATAAAAGGGAAATGATGATGTTTTTACTGTGGAATTAGATAAGTAATGCAAATAGGCTTTATAGATTTAATACTTTGAATTGTTTAGTGAGGAGTCATAGGGGGAATTTTTTCAAACTCCTGTTTCTCATTGAGCACTGGAAGCACTACCCAGCTGCCCTTTGTGCTCTCTTGTTGTTGTACTCACTCTTTTCTGTGCAGCCAAAACACACACCTAGGCATTGGGCTGTTAGGCATGCATTTTAAGCAAGTTAATGTATAATTGTAACATTCTTGTGCACATTTGTAAGCATTTTTATTACCTTGTGTGGTTGAAAAAAGGGGAAAATCTTATGTGCACAGTCCTTTTTGTAACAATTTAAAAATGTAGCACATAACTTGAAAATCTAAGCACCTATCACATCAGCAACAACCAATAAACCCACATGAGTATATTAAGACTATTTCATGATTACGTCTACCTTGTACAAAGTGCACATACCTGGTAGGTCTCTGGGCAAAGTACAACCACAGATAAAGTACCAGGCTTGGTTCTATTTACTTTAAAACAAAAACTTATGTCTCAGTTTCAAAGTTATTGAATTCTTTTTACTAATCATCTGCTCCATCAGGCATAATTCATAAGATTTTAGCTTAATCTTTTGGCCATTTAAATGAAGGAATATTCATTTTTTTAAATGTTTGATTAAAGCAAAGATTCCACATTACAAGCAAGCTAATGGTTCTTACCTGATCTCACCCAGTATATCAAACAGAGGAAGAAACACAATTTCAGCATGTGGAAGTGGAGCAAAAGTGATGTGTAATATCCCAAAACAAATGGCAAATTGAGTGTTTCCTTATGCCAGATGTCTAACACAACTGAGTGGCACCAAAGAAGTGAGTGAGTAGGAAGCAGAAAATAAAGCTGCAGCCAAGCTTCTGCACTTGTGACTCCTCCTATTGAGTGACTTCAGTGGATAGGGTGGTGGTTACAGGGCTGAGAGGGTTGGGACTGATTTTTAATCTATTTCCCTCTCTGTCTGTCAGCAGACCTACACGTAAGCAAGTGATGTCATGTGTTGCTGGCAACTCCTGCAGGTGTGGAGTTTGGGAAGTGGGGTAACTAATGCAGGCCATGAAAGAGCCACAGTGAGGGGGGTTTAAGTGCCATTAAAGATCCATAGTGAGGGGGGTTTTAACTGAACTGCAGTTCGGTTAACTGAACTGCAAGTAGGAGCACTGAGATGGGCAAAAGGAGCTTGGAACAAAAAGTCATTCTGCTGATGGTAGGATCTCCCTGTAAGAAATTGAAAATAGTTCTGAGAACTGTGTATCCAGAGATCACTTTTCCATAAAACTATCATCTGAGCTTTTCCCAGGATTCATTCTCTAATCTGAATTTTGCAATGCAAAAGCTTCTCTGGCAGAGTGGTGGAGCTTAGAGTCCCACATACCTCACCCAGATATTGATTTGCTGTGTGTTTTTTAACCTCATTCCCTCTGTATCCCAGCTGCAAAACAAATCAAGAAATATTTTTTTTTAAGCTCATTTATTTACACATCACCTCACTGGGTAAATACAGGAGTGCAGACTACAGATTTTTAAAGTTTGAGGTGAGGCAGAGGCAGATAAGCCTCGCATTATTCATGTGTGACTTGTGGATGCTCAGCTTGCCTACATCTCTGGTCCAATTATTTCCAGTGCAGGAGAAAGAAAGCCATGCCATAACCATTCCAATAGGATGCAAATGCACCTTAGGAATGTCTTTTTGCATGGAGTATCCTTTACAGTGCTTCTAAACATAGGTCTAGTTTCCTTTGTTTCTTTCCACTACAGTAAACTGTGTGTGTGTTAGTGTGTGTTAATGTGTTTCATTACTTAATTTTGAGTGATCATTGTCTTCAGCTTTATGGATCTGAGCAGCTCCTCAAAGCTGTGCTGCACAAGTTTTTCAGCAGACAGCCTTTAGGAGGTGCCACCAAAGGTGTATTTTTCACTTTGAATGAAGTCACAAGGAGCAAAAGATGCAGCATTTCTACTGTTATGAAAATCAACTCAGCTCAACAAATGACCTTTAATTAATTTTTGCTCCCATTTCTCAAATACGTCATTTTGTTTGGAGTAAAGTTCACTATGGCAGCTCCTGAATTCCTTTGCACTTCCCTGTCATCTCAAATCTTTGACACTTTGCCCAATAACTGCCATAAAAGCACAGCTTTGCTGACATCACATATTGCTTAGAACAAGTAATGGCAGGGTGTCACTCTGGCTCTTTCCTCTCACAACTTTTTAATCTAGATTATTGTTACAACAAAAGCTTAGTGCACCCAAGAAACCTTCAGGGAGCCTCAGGATGCACTCTGTATACAGTACTCATTCATATACAAGTTAAAGCATGGAGAGATCAACACCACTAAAACCAAATTGCCAACAGTCCCAGTAAAGCATTTCTTGGGCTTCTACAAGAGCCAACAAAGTGACCTTAGAAGAAAATCTTACATATGTACTTTAATATGTACCTAATGCCACTAGTTGTGAATAAACCACTAACATTTATTCTTTTACACGGAAACAAGGAAAAGAAAGGACATTTTAAGTTTCTCTTGAACTGAAAACTGAAATAAGCCCAGCTCACAGTAATGTTGATATAAGCCCTCATGAAATGGTTTCAAAGCTCTCTGAAACATGGGAAAGGACTCCCTTACCAAATCAATGCCAGAAAGTTTTGTGGTGTTAATCAGGATGCTGATTAATGTCAGCTCCCAGTCAGGTAAATCCTTCCTGGTGAGACTGAGTTCCAGGTACACTCTCACAAACTCCAGAGCTCAGCTATTTCCTATCCCACTTTGCTGCATTATTTTTATGCCCACTCATTATGCCTTGTGCTTTTCCCACAAAGATGCGCACTCTCTCACACTGAAATTCAGAGTTATCTGCTTCAAAAGTGCCTTTTGCAAACCAGAGGAGGATGCTGGCACTGCCTCTTCAGGACTTGGACCCCCAAAGTGCTCAGGACTGCCAGATTCACCACCCTGATAATTTTAGGGGGATCCCACACACTGCTGGCTAAGTATTCAAGCTGAAGAAAGATATGAAAATTTAATTTTAATACAGTACAAGATTGCTGTGGCTTATTAATAAAAGAATGGCGTTATTACAATTGAATTTATACCCAAAAGTTTTGGATAAAATAGCATCTAAAAACATTACAGTGTGCTTTCTCAAGATTAAAATGGGATTCTTACACAAGCCTTGATATGCTGATCTCTGGTCATATGCAAATGACATTTCCCCTTCTAATCTCCTCTCTGCCCACAGGGATTCTGTGGTGTTGGGAAATCTCATTCTCAGAACAACTCTCATTTCTCTTCCGTCTCAAGCCTCTTCTACAGAAAAATTCGTCTCTAACCACTAAGCTTAAGAGCGCTGCTCCCTTCCAGGCAAGAGAAAATCCCACAAGGCTTTTGCAATGCCCTGTGTTTAACTATGAAAATAAGTTATCTAAAGATTGCAAACAAAAAATCTCTGACTTGTTGGAAGAAATGTAAGACTTACTGTCTTCTACACTGATGCTTGCAATTCCTGTAAAGTGATAATCCCTTCCTAAATAGAATTGACAAGTTGGTGACTAATCCTCTCCTTTAGAAAATATGGGCTCTGAGGCAATGCACACCATTTGTGCTTAGGGAAATAAATTCTTTAATGATTATTTTTTACATTGCTGTCATCAGGATGACTTGTGAAAATGTGCTCCTTTGTAAAATTACACTTTGAAAATAAACTTGGAATGCTGAATATGTGGACATGATTGAAACCTGTTTGCAGCAACCAGGACAGCTGTGGGCTATAATGCAGGTGTAACTCCATCTTTAAAGATAGCAATCACACTCCAGTAATCTTTATTGAGAGGTGAACAACATCCAATATTTCATATGTGTGTTTTGTCAGTAACCATTACAATGCTTTACCATGCTGATGAGGGCAGCATTTGGGGACTGCAGTTTCTTAGCCCAATTTTTACATAATTATGTGGTTTCCCGGTAGTTATTCACTGTTCACTTGCAGTTCCACACAGAGAAGAAGGAAATACCCTGTGGCACAAACAATTCTTCCCAGGGCCTTGTTCCTGTGCCATGCAAGGCTTGCCAGCATCAACCCTTTCCTCCTGTCAGCAGGGGAAACCCAGGAGAGAAAAACTGAATTAAGTGCCATAAAACACTGAATTAAGTGCCATAAAACACACATGTGATCACTGCAGAGAGTGAGCCTTGCTAGAGCTGTGCACAGCAAGGCTGACTTGCATCTCCTGGATGACCCTCTCCTGCTGTAGATGTACATGCTGGAAACCATCTTTTTGAGAAGCCAATTGAAGCTAACCCTTCAGATATCCTAAAAATCAAGGTAAGCTCAATGGCTCCCTTTCAAATTGTACAAACTGCTTGGTACAGTCATTCTACAAAAGCTCATCTCTTACCTAACAGGTTGATGACAATTATTATGAATAAAGATGTTAAGCAAAAAGCAGTACAGGGTACAGCCAGTACAGGTTATAGAATGAAAGGGTTCTTGTTGAACAAAGAAGTTCCTATGGGAAAGTGGAATCTGGAGGAATAAATTCTCCCATTTAAAAACCATTCATGTGGGAAGGTAAAATTTATCAAAATCTCAGCGGTATGAGTTAGTACAGATTATTCCCACTGCTGCCTGCAAAACACATGTATTAACATGAAATACCTAATATTGGGTCAGCATTACTGACTTCACAATTGTCTTTTCCTCTCTCCCTTCTCCCTGTTCTTAATTTACCTGCTTCATGGCTTATAAGTATCTGGCAGATGCAAGAACTCCAGTGATGGTAGACTTGCAAGCACATTTTAGTATTGAGACTATCAAACTTCATGTAGTATATTAAAAGCTGGAGTACCTAATTCTTTTCTTTAAACCTATTCTAAGCCATTCCTGAGCAGGAAACAGGTGAAAAATATTAAACATTAAGAAATAGGTAAACACAAGTAATAGCAAATAGCTATAAGCTTATAATTTGACATTACAATTAGCAATTAAAAGAATGATGTAGCAAAGTAGGCAATAAATAACAACAACAACAATAAGAACAATGATAAAAATAAGATAGACAAATATATGAGCAAAGTCACAGGAGAATTCCATTATAACATTCCAGCTATCATAATGGAATGGCTGATTTTAGTATATGTTTATATTAAATGAATAGAGAAAACATTGTGTTTCAGACTTGTATATAAGTGACCCATAAACTCACCGTCTTACTTCACACTGATGTAATAATAGTGATGGAAGAGGGAGGAATAAGTCAAATAGGAACCTACCAAAAACTCATTTCAAGGAGAGATAATTTTTCTGGGCTTTTTCAAGTCTTCAGAGCTTGCAAGTGAGGAGACAAACTCAGTGGAAGGTTACAAAATTTGTATACTGTGTTTGCTTAGTATTTTTAATTTTCATAGCAGTTTCTCAATATATTCCTTCTTCTATTCCTGGAAATGAGTGAAAGAATTGCTGGGAAATTCAGAGCATTCTAAATATTGCTACAGGATCATAATAATAAGCTGAAAGAAAAAGCCTCCAACATTTTCACTTTTGGCTTCTTGCGCTGTATGTATTTACTCATGGTATATTGTTGAAAATAGTTTTCTGGGTTTTTTTCCAGTGTAGTGAGTTCTTCAAAGGAAGAGGTCAACTGGGCAGGAGTCTGCAACAGAAAGGGCTGCTGAAACACAAAAAGTAGATATTAAAAAGTAGGTATTAAAAAGCCCTGAGCCACT